CTAGTTTTGCAATTCTTTTGGCTTTGCCAACCCTCCAGGGTAGAAAAACCTTCCCACAAGGATTTGAGGCTTGCAAGTAGAGGAAATCTTTGAGAAAAATCTGGGTTGATGAGGAGCTAAGAAAAGCCAGGAGGAAGAGCCACATCTATATATGTGTTTATGCAGAAAATAGAAAAGGTTGCAAAGCAATGTGTCTCTAAAATACAGCTTCTATGAAACCAACCTTCTGTCACTCCTTCACTCCCCCGTCGACTGGAAAAGGCAGGGGGATTCCCATCCCTTACTCATGTTCCGCTGAGCTGACGCTGGAGAACGCGGCAGCAGGCAGTGCCCACAACGGGTGGGCTTGGGTTCAAATCCTGTCACCTGCCCCAGCCCTTCCTCCAGCTCAACACCTAATTTGCTAGTGCTGCTTTGCCGTTAGTTTTTAATCACAGGCCCTGCAGTCTAGGACTCTAAAGGGAGTCTTCGTTTAACAACAGATATCACAGGTGGGAAATGGTAAGATGCAAAACCTATGCATGCATTTCCAAAAACATTCATTCGCATGAAACTAAGCTTCTTTTCTCTGCATTCCTCCATGAACTTCCTGTTGAAACTTACAGCCTTCCCTTGAGCTTCTCCTTTGGAATGGGACTCCCGAGTGACAAGAGTAAGGAAGTTCACAGGGACCCTGACCTCCTGTCTCAAGCTACATAGGGACCAAAGAAATACAAAATTGCCAACAAAGGATCGGAGAGCACAGTGGGGGCGGGACCTGGAAGTCCAGCAGTGACTAGCCATAACAGACAGGGAGAGCTGGACAGGGGAGGAAAAAGCCAGAGAGGCCAGCCGGGCCTTGCTCCCAGCCAGGGCTACACCTGCAGTGCTCTGAGGAATGGAAAACCACGTAGACACAAAGGCCAGGGTGAGCTCTCACACCTGCAACTACAATTTTGCACCCCATGTACCTGCTACAGCCCTCTTGCTAGACACCAGTCGGGACCCCCAACCACCACCACCAGGCCAGAGAGCAGCACTGTCTCCATGGCTAGAAGGGACATCAGAGACAACACTCCTACACGTATCTGTAGGAATCCGTGCATCATCATCCAGCAGCACCTGCTGATGCTCCCTTGAGAGTCTGACTTTCCCAGAATCCCTGCAGCACCTCCCTGCACTCACACTGCTTACACTGTGAGCCTGCAGGCCCTCTCCATGACGTGTCACCACCTGGCCCAGCCAAGAACAAAGTGCCACAGTGTGACCCCTGAGGCCAGGACATCATAATGCCAGGAGCTCTCTCAGGCACCCAGCTGGCCACGTTCTCAGGAAGTTCAAACTCAGCTACATGGTGAGCCTGCATATGAAGCCACGATCCCAGGTGCTCCGAGCACCAGCTGCACCCACCCCCAACTCCCAGCAGCGACACTGCCCCCCCAAAATGCCACATCCTGCCCTCGAACACCTTTCCAGAGGAGACCCAGACATAGCATGGCCGACTAGCCCTGCCCACTCTTCCCTGTCCAAATGCCTGCCCAAAACATCCAAGAGCAAGAACATAAAATGACACTAAATTTAGGGGCAAGCTATGTGCGGCAAGAGTGACAGAAATGAACCCAAAGTCCTACTTCAGAAAAAAAAAAGTTCACGGAAAATAAATTGAAAAGATAAAGTCATTTTGCTGCAAAAAAAAAAAAAAAGTGTTGAAATCCATGCATGGAGGAGTCTTCAGAAAATTTATGGAACATGTTCATTAAGAAAAATCTGCCTGGATTTCAAAAAAAATGCACCAAAATGAATCACCTTTGAGCTCCTTTCTCTAGACATTTTGCATGTGTGTATGTGTTTGACTACACTGTGTGTGAGCACATTGTGTGCTTACAAGTGTAGGTGTGTGTCACTGTGTGTGACTATATCATGTGTAAGCATATTGTTTGTGAGTGAATGCATGAGTGGGTGTGTGTGAGAGAGAGCAGAACGTGTGTGTGTTGAAGAGACTGTGTGTGCCTTTTTCTTAATCATGCTTCACTTTTGTGAGAACCTTCTAGAAAAAAGTACCTGTGATTACTTCTGAGCTACAACCCCTGGGATTCATCCATACCACTTCTGCAGGAAAAGAGCGTGAGCACCAAGCGGTTTATGCAAAAGAAAAATTAAACACTTTGAAACCACTCAAAACACACCAAAGTAATCCATCCTTACTGCAAAAAAATAAAAGAAAGCCCTTGCAAATCTAACACTTTATTTCAACTGGCTTTGAAAACAGAGATCAAACACGAGATCTTCATCTGCAGCTGCTAAATAGGGCACCAGGGGCTCCTCCACGTTTCCCCAGACTGCTGAAGACGCACACGCCGGAAAGCGGCATTTGCACATCAGGCAGAGTCATGCACAGAAGGTGCACTGGGCACCCCAGCCCGCCTCCGGCCCCCAAGAGCCCAGGGAACGCTAGCAGCCGTCTGGGCTTCTGCTGCTGTTCCAAAGAACATTCTCCTGGGTTCTGCTGAGTGCTGGCCTAAGTAAGCCCTCAGCTTGGGTATAAGCAGAGAAGACCAAGAGCGGATTCCTTTTGCAACCAGATGCATACACTGCATGCCAGACCTCCCTGGGGTGGAAAAGTGAAACTTTTCTGCATGCAGTCCGATCTAGGATGGATGTCAAGAGGGGAGCCTGGACTCCATAGGGTCAGAAAAGCTCTATAGGGCTCCACAACAGCGCTGCCACACCGATGGGAAGGAAAGTATTTAGAAAAAGGATCGGGATATATCAGAACACGAGAAGTCACATCCAGCTACCACCATGCGGCTTCCAGGGCCAGTCAGTACAACCCACCCAGATCGCGAGGAAGGCCCTGCCATGGGATAACAGAAATCAGCATGGGACACCCAGGTGGGGCCTGCACAGTGAACAAGGGGCCGGGTCACCTCAGGCTGGGTGGCCCCTCTCCCACTGCCGTGTGACCCCAAGCTGGCCACCTGGCTTCTCAGAGTCAGGATGTCCTGAAAACAAGGCCAAAGCCCCCACTGTGTCCGCGCCAAAGGACCACAAAGCAGGGTGGTCCCCAAGGCTCTCCAAATGTTGACGTCAGCCGAATCATTCTCCAAGCACCATCGCATGCCAATTCACACGCACTGATTAATCAGAATTATCTCCAAACCCCCGCTCCTGGCAAAATGCGGTTAGTTCACTAGGCAAGGAGATCATTTATACAGAATGGAAGAAAAGAGGATTGGCCATAGAAGAGCAACTAACAGCACAGCTTTGGGGGCCACAGGGTCTGCCTGCCATCTTCCTTGGCAGTCTCCACGGGGTGGGGGCGCTGGGGGCTCTCAAGCCTCATGTCGGTGGGAAGGAGTGAAGCAAGCATGGCAGGAAGGACCCACACCTGAAGTGACAGGTGAACACAAATGCCACTGCCAGAGAAACCACTGCAAAACAACCCTCTGGTCCCCAGGTGTCCACTTGGTAGAGTGTCCTCGCTGTCCACCCCAAACCCTAACTCTCCCGATGGGGGCTGAGGGGGGGCAAGCAGGCAGCCCCCCGCTGCTCCGCTGCTGGTCAACTCAACTGTCCAAGGTACATTCTCCATCCAGGGAAATAAATCCATTCCACGTCGGCAAAATGACGGCAACCCTGTGACTCACAGAGTTCCTGCATGGAGGCAAGTCAGGCGGGCACCCTAAGTGACTTGGCACAGTCATGGCCAAAGGCAGCATGTACTGTACCAGCTGCCTGGAGAGTCTTTACCCGCTGAGGCCTGCAAGCCCCGGGTGGGTGGGAGAGAAAGAGGAGAGAAATCCTGCCTCCACAGCCCCCTTCCCGATGCCAATGGCCGCTTTCCCTGAAGCCCCAGCCAGCCTCTATCCTTCTTACCATATATGATGAAGTCCTTGCAGGGGTTTGCTGAGACCTCAGGCCCGTCTTGGCTCAGCATCCAGCCCCAGCCCAGCCACAGCTAATAAGCACAGGAGGGTGAGGAACCCCTTGTGAAATAGAGGATGGCCTTTGCAACTATGTTAGCACCACCAGCAAAATGCCTCTAGAGTGTGCGCCCCCCACACCTCCTGTGCTGGAGCTGGGTCGGGTAATAGGTACAGCACAGGTCAGCCACTGTTTTTGTGTAGTTGTGTTTTTGTTTGTTTGTTTGCTCATGAACATTTCCACAGCTGTCTCCCCTCCAACCGTGCCGGCTGGGAGTGACCCCCCCCCCAATTGCACACCACTTCTTCCTGCAAGCCGGCTGCCTCTGCACCCCCACCCCCACCTCGGAGTTAGCAGACAACTGTTCCCCACAAGGGCCATTGCAATGGACAGGGACAAAGCGAAAAGTTGTGGCTAAGGGACAGACCTGGCATGAGGAAGGGAGAGGACAGAGTGAGGGGTACAGTCCCAGGGCTTGCAACATCTCTCCCACAGCTACAGGGGCGCAAACCCCACTCTCCACCCCGGCCAGGACCAGGACCACCGTGAAGCCCCCGGTTGGGGTGACCAAGACATTTTTTTTTCCAACTCCTATGCCAATTTTCCGGCACCTGTGTTCCGGAAAGGCGGTTCGGGAGCTTCCAGCTGAAGCACGCCGCCTCTTCCACCACAGAACATTCAGAGCCGAGCTTTCCCACAGCCAACCGCCCCTTTCGGTCCTCGGAGGGAGCCGGCGCGCACAGGTGGTTACCGCACAGGTGCCCGGTCTTAATCCGCACAACTTTACGGCTGGCCGCGGGGGGCCTTACTTGGGGCAGGGAGACGGGTGCTCCACCCCGCCGTGCCACCCAGACCCTCCCGCCTGAGGGAAAGGCGGGCAGGGGCGAGGGGCGCAGGTAAGCAGGGGCAGCGAGCGCGCCGGCTCTGGGCTCCGGGCTCTGAGGGCCGCCGCCTCCCGAGCCCGCGGCCAGGGGCAAGGGGGCGGCGTCCTGGGAGGACCCGGCACCCCGATCCCCGCACGGCGAGCCCCGCGCCCCAGCGGCCGCCACAGCCGCGGGAACCGCAGCGCCCACTCGGGGCAAGCGGCGGCCACTCACCCTTCTGTTCTCGTAGGCTCGACAGCGACCAGAGCAGCAGCGCCACCGACGCCAGGAAGCAGAGCTGGCTCAGCAGAAGGTCCCTCCGGCGGCGACGCCGGCGGCGGAGGAGCGCGCGGTCCTCGTCGGCGGCCGGCGGCATCTTCGGGCGGCCGAGCGGCGGCCCCGGCGGGCGGCGACGGCGGCCCCGGCCGCTCCTGAGGTGGGCGGCCGCGGCGGGGACGGCGGCGGGAGGCAGCCCTGCGCGCAGCAGCCGCGCGTCCTCGCTGCGCGCCCGACCGGCCACCGCCTCCTCCTCCTCCTCCTCCGGCTGCTCTTCCTCCTCCGCGCCGCTGCCCGGCTCCTCCTGGCCGTCGCCCTCGTCGTCGCTATCGCTCAGTCCCTCCTCCCCACCCCCCTCCTCCTCCTCCTCCACCACCTCCTCCTCGCCGCTCGCCCGCGCCGCCATCGCCTCCCAACACTCGGGGTCCCGCTCCTCCTCCTCCTCGCGCGCCATGGCTCCCACGCTCCGCGCCCGCGCTCGGCCTGGGGAGGCGACGCAGCGGGGGCGGCCTGGAGGCGGGGGGCGGCCGAGGAGGTTGGAGGAGGAAGAATGGGAAAGACCGACGGAAGGAGGGCCCCGCTGCTGCTGGCCAATTCGGCCGGCGGCCTCGCCGGCTGCAGGGGCGCGTCCCGGGGGCCGTCCTCCTCACTCCTCGGGCCGCGCGCGGGGAGCCTCGAGGCAGCGGGGAGCACGGGCGGACGCGGCTGTCCGCAGCCCGCGGTGGCGGCGCCGACCCTGCTGCGGTGGGCGGCTGCTGTAGGTGCGGTAGGGGTGGGGGAAGAGCAGCGCACGGGCCGGGAGGCGGGAGGGGACTGAACGGAGACCTAGCCGGCCGGGGCGCAGTCCTCAGCCGGTCCGAGCCCTTGTGGCCTGGCCACTGCTACCAGGAGCCGTTTGTGCACCGCCGAACTTGGGGAGAAACTAAGGGTCTTTTCAGCTCCGTCTCCACTCGTGCAGCTCCGAGCGGGGACACCTGGAGTGCGCCCGAGGGCCCTGGCCCGGCAGCTGGGCTTACGGCCGCCTCCCGCGGGCCTCCCGGGTTTCCTTCTGCCCTCTTGCGGGGATTCCCCCTACACGCGGGGTTTGACTGGTGAGCAGGCCTCCCCAGCGGCTCTTGGCTTGCTAGGGGCCGCATGCCCTGGCTCCCCTGCCTGGCCGCCTGGGGAGCACACTTAGCTCTCGCCTGTGTTGGACCCAGTGCGTTAGTTGGCTGAGAGAAGGGGCAGCTGTGGCATTCCTGAGAGAAGCTGGCAATGGAGGGGGAGGCTCCGTGAACTTGTGTAGGGAGAAGGGGCGAATCAGTCTGCCCCGAAACCCTGAGTAGATTTGCAGTCCCACGCTCCTCATCTCCCATCTCCGGGTTTCCAGTCCTCTCCCTGCTCCTCGTGGATGGTGTTCTCTGGCCTGCAGCCGGCAGGGCTGTAGCTCTGTGGGAGGAGAGAGACCCCCAAGGGGTGCCCCCCTACCCCGCACAGCCCACTCCTTCTCCCCGTGCCTCTGTAGGGCTGTGGAATAGGCTGAGACTCAGGATGCTCTGGAAGCTGCACCTTTGTAATGGGGACTAGGAACAACTTAGCTCTTTAAAAGGATCACCTCGTCAGCAGGTGTCTTTCTGGGTGCCCCTGTGGAGTGTGATCAGATTAGGGAATCTGGCTGCAAATTCTGGGGGGGGGGGGGAACCCTCTCTTTGGGGACCCTAGGTACAGCTTTCCCTACCCCTAGGTAAAGAGGCATGCACTGAGTGTGAACTGTGTGCAACCCACGGCTTCCAGGGTGGGCCTGGACAGCTGGGGGCGCAGGCTCACAACAAGCGACAAGGAGGCCATCATGGATGGTTTGCTCTGCACCACGGAATGCTGGACCCCCCACACTGTGGATGCACTCCTGTGCTTCCCAGGGTTACAGGCACCACAGTGGTCAGTGCAATGTTGCTCCCAGGTGACCAGAGCACTGTCCCTCCCAGGTGACCAGGGCACTGTCCCTCCTAAGCAGCCAGTGCACTGTCCATCTTTGTCTTGTGCATGGATTTTGCAGGCCCTGAGGAGGACTGGACAGCGCCCAGACAGGAGCATGTTGAGGGAGAAATGGGGAAAAAACACTTAGGAGCTCAGAGCACTTCGGCCACCGGGATGCTCTTGCTGCATGTGCTGGGGAAAACGGGGAAAAATCCAAGGTGTGTGGGAGAACCTACATTGAATTGTATTGGGGAGTGAGCACTCACTTAAAGGGGGAACCACCCCTCCAACCTGGGCTGGGGTTCCCCAGTGTACACTGGGGAGCAGAAGGGACAGGGACTCCTCAGGGGGCTCCTCACCCTAGAATGCTGTCTCTGCTGGCCCCTGCTCCTTGGCCCCAGCCCTTGGCAACCTCTGCAGTGAGAGCAGGGATGCCCTTCTGTCACTCAGGACCCATGTCAGCTCTGCGATGGCTTGCATCTGCTGTGTCTTTATCCATTCACCTTTGAGCTCACACTTGGCTGTGGGTTGTCCGTAAGGAGAGAGTGCGAACTCTGAACTTGAGTCTGTTGGAGCTGTCTAGCTTAGAAAGGCAGACATCTGCACCCCCAAGACCCTTCCAGGACTGACAGGTGTGTTTTCAGAGGACACCCGCACCCACACTGGATGCCAGGGTCCCCATCTGGACTCCCAGGAGCACTTTGCTCTTCTCATGGTTCTGCCTTTAGAACAAAGATGAAAGTGCCTTCTCCACAGTCACATTGGCTTGACTCTCTGCCCAGGACAGTCTTCCATCAGCCCATGAGCAGGGCTTGCCTACACCTGGGCCAGGCCCTTCACCCGTGTCCGCCACACTGCTAGTGCCCAGAGCTGGCAGAGCAGTGCCCACACCGTGCCAGTTGTGTTAAGCCACTAGCTTGGAAAGGAGGAGAAGAGGAGAGGAGAAATTCAGAGACACTCTGCTTGGCCATGTATCAGAAGACAGAGATGCAATCTGTTTCCCCATATGAGTGGCAGGAGCCAATCAAGCTTTCATTGTACATTAGCAGGAAGCTGGATGGAGCTGAAAACGGGACACAGGTCGCCAGTGTTAATAACACAGGCTTAAGTCACCCTTTGTGTTGCTGGGATCTCATAACAGGGAGCTAATTCAAGTACCAGCTGCACCACTTACTGTCCAGCACCCTGCAAATATGCCTGGGAAAGCAGCAGAAATTGGCCCAAGTGCTTGGGCCCCTGCACCCCTGTGGGAGACCCAGAGGCAGTTCTAGGTTCCTGGTTTTGGGCCATTTAAGCAATGAAATAGCAGATGAAGGCTGTGTGTGTGTGTGAGAGAGAATCCAGCACAGGCTTTGTGATATGGGTGGGATATGAGGTCCTAACCAGTGCCCTAAGCAATTGGCCAATCAATACCTGCCCCTGTCTTAAAGCTTGAAACCTGCAGTTCCGGAGATGAGAAGAGTTTGGTGTCTTTGGGGAAGATTCCAGGCAGGAATCTGAACAAGGAAACACGTTTCCCAGTCAGCATTTGCAGTGTTTGTCATTGATTTGCTCCGGTGCTTGTAAGACATGAAGGCTGAGAGTGCACGGATATACCCGCCTTCGGCTGTATATACTTCTCCTCCTGCTTCACATGAGTCAAAAATGACTCCTTCGAAAATAGCTCAGAACCAGAGAAGTAATAGGGAGATTAAAAATTGAAGTTCTCACAGGATAAAAATTAAATATTCACAATTTGAGGAATTTACTCATTCCATCAAGATTTTTTTTAAACATACACAGCATGTGTGACCTTGGGCAGACAAGGTACAGAGTGTGGCAGAGGAGCCCAAGGGAAGGCTGTGAGGACTTTTGTTAATAGCAAATATTTGCTTTGAAGCCCTGTTTTGTTTAAAGATTTGTTTTTATTTATTTTGAATGACAGAGAGAGGGCTGAAGAGGTTTTCCATCCATTGACTCATTCCTTCCAAGTGGTTGCAGTAGCCAGGAATGAACCAGATGAAACCAGGGGCTCCGGTCTCCCCCCCTAGGTGTAGGGGCCCCAGCACGTGGCCTAAGTTTTAATGCAGAAAGTCGATCTGTAGGTAGTGGGTTAAGCAGGTGCATAGGAAACTAATCCCAGCTGCTCCACTTCCAACCCTGCTCCCTGCTAATGTGTTGGGAAAGCAGGCCGTGATGGTCCAAATGGTTTGGACCTTGCCACCTCTGTGGAAGACGCAGTTGGGATTCCTGGCTCCTGGCTTCAGCCTGACCCAGCTCTGACTGCTGTGGCCGTTTGGGGAGTGAATCAATATATAGAAGTTATCTCTCTGCCCCTTGCTCCCTCTCTCTGTCACCCAACCATTCAAATAGACAAGTGGGTCTGAAACAAAAATACAATAAGAAAATAAATTCGCAAAAAAATTTTGTTAGAATGCTTAAACTTCAAAACCCTCTTCTCGAAAGGCTGTGATGCATATCTTATGTGAAGTGGAGGCAGCCGTGTGGATCACACAGTCTCATTTTCTATGAAGTCAGTCATCTCCTCTCCCACCGCGTGTCCATATACACACATACCCACGAATGACACGCATGTGAGTATGTATGCGGCAATACTGGAAAAAAGTTCATGGCAAAAATGGTTTAAAAATGTCAATTTATTTTAAATCTAGGGTAGCTTTTTGGAGAGCCCTTGTTTGTGTGGATTTCAACATGCTTTGCACCAAAGCAAATCTCTCCTGATTGCGTATTTCCTAAGCTTTGGAAGGACCCTGTCTGCAGTAGTGAGACTGCAGGATTCAGAACAACTTCTCACTTGCTATTTTACACTCTTCTACAGTTTCAAAATGGCTTTTCTCCGTCAAGATGTTCATTCTTTCAGTTTAGAAAATGAAGAAAAGATAGAAAAATTAGTTCATAGGTGAACAGTTAAGGCGAATTGCTTTACATGCCAGGAGCTGGCATGGGGCTGCACTTGGCAGGGAAGAGCAGAGGGCTGGGCCCGCTGCTGCTTCTAGCAGTCTTGAATGCTATGCTGAGGTTGGTTTGTGCAAGGCCCTGAGCCAGTGGACAATGGGCAGCCCATCAGGTGGTGAGCGGCCCTGAGTAGCCAGGAACTGTCCCCTGGCCACAAATCCCAGTCTGTGTCTTTGCTGAACCTAAGCTTCCTTACTGGTAATCAGAAAAATTGTCACAGCTCTTCCTCAGAAACATTCTGAAAGGGCAAAAACATGCAAAAGTAGATGTGCTAAAGGCCCAGTTATCCTGACGGGGCATGGCCA